GGCTGTGGGGAGGGAGCTGAGATGCTGCTGGGTGGGACTATGCTAGGCAGGGAGCGCCGAGCTGGGCAGGCTCCTCTGGCTTCGGGGCTTCCTGTGTTCCTTTTGGGAGGTGGAAGGGAGTGAGTGCCCTGTCCTTCCTCCCTGCCATCAGATTCCAGGACCGGACCTGGCAAGTGCCCTATGGCAGCCAGTGTTCCTGGGGCTCTTCCAGGCAGGGCTGTGTTCCCCCTGCCAGGGGCACTGTCCTGGATGGTCAGGAGGCATAGCCCCCGCCAGGTGGGCCCACCCTGTGTGTGCATGACCCCGACAGGCAGGTGCCGAGACAGGAGGCTGGGTATGGGGCACGAGCTGGAGCCTGCAGCTGGACGGGGGGTCCTGCCACCATGTGCCAGCTGTGTGCTGGGGACGAGCTCCCCGCTGGCTTCAGCGCTCAGAGCATTTGGTGGTGGGGAGAAGCAGGGCCTGGGCAGGTTGCCTGGCCACCAGCACTGCTGCCTGTAGGAGGCTCCCTGGGCAGGTGATGCCTCAGAAACCGGGTGAGATGGTGACCGCGGGCCATTGGCCAGCTGGGGAGGGCCTCTGCCAGGGCTCCTGAGAGCAGCCCCCACACTGCTGAACCCCCTTGCTCTGGGTCTTGGGCTGAGCCCTCAAGTGGCTGGACCCTGGGCCTAGACTCAGGCCCTGTGGGTTCCAGAGCAGACTCCCGCACTGAGTCCCCAGAGTACCTACCCTGACCATGGCAAGGTAATGGCACCTTCTGGCCTCACCAGTTCCCAGCTCTGTGAGGGCTGAGGACCCTGGAAGTGCTGGGAAGAGTTGCAGGAAGGCCCAAAGGGGCAGTGCCACCATCGGACATTGGCACCCAGATGAAGGGAGCGCTGGCTGCGTGGGAAAAGCTGGCAGCCCAGATCACAGCCCGAGAGTCTCCCTGCCAGGCGCCAGTTAGAGGGGCGGGCCTGCCCCTTGCTGTCTTCCTCCTCCCCCACCCACATTCATCCAGGCCTGCCAGGCAGGGCCAGCTCCCCGGGGCTTCGGGGCCTCCTCACTGGTGGTTTGAGTGGCTCCGCCTTCACTGCGTCCCTCCGGGGCTCGATGTTTCAAAAAGAGCCCTTGCCACAGCTCTGGCAACTTCCTTTGCAGGCCCTTACTGGGTAGCACCAAGGATTCTGGAGGGGCCTGTGGGTCAAGGCTGCCACGCCCACGCCTTTTCCTAGCCCTCTGCGGGGGCAAGAGCCCTCCCTCCTGCAGCCACATCACGGAGGCTGGGCCAGGCGAGAACAGAGCTGGAGAGGTGGCACCCACACTCGAGTGTCCTCTCCAGCTTGCTGCTCTCCTGGCCTGGCCCCGGCACAGTTCCCTTTTCTGAATCAGGGGCCATGTGACCACCTGTTTGCTCAGCCGTGGATGCTGCTTCTGCACAGGGGCGATTTGCTCTAGAAAGTTCACAGGAAGCAGCCTGCTGGGCTCAGGGAGTGCACAGTGGTGGGAGGAAGCTGTTCAGGCTGCCCAAAGCTTTCCGGTTCTTGGCACCCCCCGCCTCCCACGCCCCCAGCAGGATGGAGGATTCCTGGCTTGAGGTCCTAGTGAGCCCTCAGGCAGCTGACTGTATGGGTCAACCTCTCCAGCCTGACATCCTTGTCTTCCCAGCGGCTGTGGAGGGTGCCCTTGTGCCCCCCTGGCCAGCACCATCTGCCCAGCTCAGAGAAGGGGCTGTGGCTGCCGCCTGCAGCATAGGGCAGATTGCCTGCCTGGAAGGGCTGTTCTTGACTTCCTCCTTCCAAGGAGGCCAGGGAGTGGCTCTGTGTTCTCAGCACTGTGCTGGCCTCGATGGGGGTGAGAATCAGTGCCACTGAGCTTTCTGCCATTTCTAGCTGACAGCCAGACAGTGCGGGGCAGGTACCACCTGGACACAGGTCCCTCACCTTCCCCCCCCCCACTTTTTTTTTTCAAGACGGAATCTCTGTCACCCAGGCTGGAGTGCAATGGTGCAGTCTTGGCTCACTGCAACCTTGACCTCCTGGGTTCATGTGATCCTCCTACTTCAGCCTCCCAGCTGGGGCCACAGGTGCACACCACCACACTCAGCCACTCAGCTAATTGCTTTTTTGTTTGTTTTGTTTCGTTTTTTTGTTTTTGTTTTTTTGAGATGGAGTCTCACTAGATGGAGTCTCACTCTATCGCCCAGGCTGAAGTTCAGTGGTTTGATCTCGGCTCACTGCAACCTCTGCCTCCCAGGTTCAAGTGATTCTCCTGCCTCAGCCTCCGGAGTAGCTGGGATTACAGGTGTGTGCCACCACGCCTGGCTAATTTTTGTATTTTTAGTAGAGACGGAGTTTCACCATCTGGGCCAGGCTGGTCTTGAACTCCTGACCTCGTGATCCACCCTCCTCAGCCTCCCCAAGTGCTGGGATTACAGATGTGAGCCACCATGCCCAGCCCTGGCTAATTTTTAAAGTTGTGTTTTTCTTTTTGTGGAGCCGGGGACCTCCCTATGTTTCCCAGGCTGGTCTTGAACTCTCGGGCTCGAGTGATCTGCCCACCTTCGCCTCCCAAAGTGCTGGGATTACAGGCATAAGCCACCGTACCTGTCCCTAAAGCTCCTTTTTAAAGGCACCTTTGGACTGTGTGACTTTTAGTGGAAAGTTAGTGGTGGGGCCCCCATGTCCCTTCTGCAAGCCTCCTGCGTTAAGTCAATGAAAACTGTTTACAGAGAGCCTGGGGCCAGATAAATAACAGGGCTGCGGGTATCAACCACGCCAGGGCAGGGCGTGGAGGCCAGGGCTGTACTGGGTTAGGCGGGCTGGCAGTGAGGACTGTGTCCTTCTGTGGTAACCCAGGGAGCAGACCTGGTCCCCAGACCCAGGCCACAGCCAGATATGGGGCAAGCCAGTTGTCCCCAGAGTGGAAGCTGGCTGCAAATGATGCTGGCAAAACCACACTCACAGCCACGTTCCAGGACAGACAGCACTTCCTCCCACATGACCTTCTCCAGACTTCAGGGGTTAATTGTTGGCCCTGATGTGGGGAGGGGCTGGAGCAGGACAGCCTCTGGCAGAGCGGGAGGTGTTGGAGCGAGCTGTTCTTGCCTCTAAGATCTCACTGGGCCTCCCTCACCAGGACTGGGAGTGTGAGCTGGCCGGCCTGGCTCTGACCTCGGGCATGGTCAAGGTCAAGCTCATGGTCAAGACCGCCAAGTGCCTGACTTGGTGGTCTTTTCTGCTGTGGGAAGCGTCCAGGCACAGACTTTCAGAGAGCACCAGGAAGGCCAGATACCTGCCCCTCTGTCCACGGCACACCCTCGTCCACTCTGGCAGGTTCTTGGGAGCACACCCCCCGAGTGCAGCCGGCTGCCCGCACGGGCAGACAGGACCTTTTGGGAAGGGTGGGGTGAGACTCTCCAGTGTCCGACTCGTCTGCTGGTCACCCTCTGCCCTGTTCTCTTTGAGGCCCATGCGGCCTCCTCCTCCTGGGTGTCCCCCTATCCCTGGCGATGCTGGCTCTTGGCTCCTGGCTACACCTCCTCGGCTGACTCCTGCCATTCTCTTGAGTGACTTTGAAGTCCACAGGGGCTGTCCATATGGCACCCTGGCCCTCACCCTTGACCTTCTCCTCTCCTTGGCCTGCCGGTCCTCAGTCCTGCCCTTCATCAAGACTCCCAGCACTAATACCTCGAACCCCTTTGGTTCGCTGGCCAGGACTCAGGCCCCAGGCTTGGAGCCCTGGCTGGACCCTAGCATCAGCTTCCCCTCCCCACTGTGCAGACCCAGCCTCCCAGGGGTGACCAGCACCCAGCGTGCCATCAGGACCTGGCCCCTACCCCTACCTCACAGTGGCTGTTTGTCCTTGTTGCCCTCCTGACAGCCTGTACTCTCAGGGGGCCATCCTCACCTGCTTCACAAAAATCGGAAGTGGCCAGGGGGAAATCCTCTATTTCCCCTCCCCCCGCTCGAGGCAGGGATGGGGGAATCCTGCCTCCCAGGCCCTTCCCTCCTCTGTGAGAGTCACTGCTGATCCAGTGCTGACCCTGCCCAAGCCCTCTCTCCAGCATCTGACTCAGCAAGTTCCAAACCCTCTCCCCATCTGGGGCCCCACTCAGTGCCCCCATCCATCATCTCAGGGCACAGAGAGAAGCCTGCGTATCTAGCGGACTGTCCATGTCCAGCCCTGTGTGCTGTTCTGCTCGTGCTGACCCCCATGGCCCTGCAGCCTGTGCACCTCTCCTCACACATCTGCACACCCCAGCAGCCTCCCAGCTCACCCCCAACGGGTGCCTTTGGCTCAGCCACAGGACCCAGGGATGGAGCCTCCCTATAACTCTCTTTAATCAGGGACAACAGCAGCCAAGGAGCCTCATTTGCACAGGAGCCAGGAGCCATGTGCAGAATTCAGAGGCCCTGGCTGGGAAGGCCTCACCCCTGCCCAGCTTCCTTCAAGGGGCCAACCGTCCCCCTGGCACTGTGTCCTCTCCTGGCCACCCAGCCCCACCTGCCTTGAGGTTCTCAGCGAAGACCTCCTGTGCTGCCTCAGCCCTGCTGCTCTGGGGGCCCCTTACCCACCACACCCCACCCCCACAGTCAGTGGGCTCTCAGTCATCATTCCTGCCTGGTGCCTGTCTGGTGCTTGCCTGGGCCGAGGGAGGCTTGAGAATGTGGCACCACGTGCTGCTGGTCCTTGGCTTTGGGGGCCTGGTGGCCTGGTCGTCCATCGTGGGGAATAAGCGGAGCCCAGCCCAGGCACCTTTTGTGGGGATGAGTTGTTGCTGTGACCTGCCTGAGTGCTGGCCACTCGGCTGCTCCCAGCCGTCACTGTGCCTCATTTCTGGCTGCCTGTGTCCTCCCAGGGGTCAGCAGACAGGTGTGATTAGGCGTTTGAATGCTTGCCAAGTTGCCTTCCATCGAAGCTGTCCCCATTCAGTCCCACATCCCCCAGCTCTGGGGGAGGTCTCTGAGTGATGAACTTGAAGCAGCAGGGCTGTGGGGCCTCCCCAGGGCCTGACCATCTGCTCTCCCTCAGGCCCGAGTGCCAGGCATGGACAGGGACGCTGCTGCTGGGCACGTGCCTGCTGTACTGCGCCCGCTCCAGCATGCCCATCTGCACTGTCTCCATGAGCCAGGACTTCGGCTGGAACAAGAAGGAGGCCGGCATCGTACTCAGCAGCTTCTTCTGGGGCTACTGCCTGACGCAGGTTGTGGGCGGCCACCTCGGGGACCGGTAACTGCCCCTTCCCCGTCTCCAGGCTGGTGGGAGCTGCTCCCCTGGGGCCTCCAGAGGCCAGTGGGCTGGCTGTGCTACTGCACACAGAGGATGCAGCTCCCGGGGAAGGAGCCTGGTGGATACATTTGGGCAGAAGACACACCCAGGGGAAGATGGGAGCTGGGAGGGGAGAGGCCAGGCGTGGCAAGGCCCCAGGGCCCTGCAGGCAGAGGAGGCAGGCGGCTCCCCTGGAGTACCTGGTCTCCTCACGAGGCAGCTCTGGGGTCATGAGCAGGCCCTGTAGAGGCAGATAGGCCAGGCCCATCTCCGAGCACCCACTCGAGGGCAGCCCTGAGTCAGGGTGGTGCTCCTTGGTCCTGCGCAGCCACATCCTCACCGCCTTCTGTCTCCCCTCCAGGATTGGGGGTGAGAAGGTCATCCTGCTGTCAGCCTCTGCCTGGGGCTCCATCACGGCCGTCACCCCGCTGCTCGCTCAGCTGAGCAGTGCCCACCTGGCCTTCATGACCTTCTCACGCATCCTCATGGGCTTGCTCCAAGGTAAGGGGCGCTCAGGCACTTCCCTCACGCTCTCTGGCACCAGGTAGGGAGACAAGGGGAGTGTGCACGGATGTGTGTGCAGGTGCACGCGTGCATGCAGGTGGTGTACAAGTGTGTGTGTATGGGTATGCCTGCGTGCATGCATACACCAGTGTGTGTGCGTGTGCAAGTGCATATGTCCCTGCAGACGCGTGTGTGCAAGCAGTGTGCACGTATGTGTGTGCTTGTGCTTGTGTGTACATATGTGTGCATGCACACGTGTGAGTGTGCACGTGTGTGTGCAGGTAGTGTGCATGCCTGTATGCGTGTGTGTGCGTGCCCGTATCCATGTGTATGTGCATATGCATGCCCATATGCGTGTGTACGTGCGTGAGCGTGCCCGTATGCAGGTGTATGTGTGGCCATGCATGTGCCTTCTGTAAGTGCACACTCTGCAGTGACACACAGGATCACAGGGGACACCTGCGTAGTGAACTTGCTCCTGCCCCTGAATTTTGTTACCAAACACCTTAGTTCAGTGGTGGATTCCAGCTGCAAGGGACCTGCTGTGGGACTCTGGGTTTTGTGAATTTTGGTCACGTGTGTGCCGATGATGCCTCCAATACTAGGGCCTTGGAGCGCCTTAATTGTCAGGAGAACAAGGTGGGTGAGGGGCCAAGGGGGCTTTGGGGGCCCCTACTTGTCTGAGGTCCCCTGGAGAAACAGCTAGGCCTCCAGCCTGCAGGGGCCTGCCCGCCCCACCCCAGCCTGCCTGGCTGCCCCATCCATTGGCAGTTCCCGGCCGGGCTACTCCTCCCCCAGTGTCCTGGGCCATCCAGACTCCCCACTGGGGACTCCCCCTACCTTCCTGAGCTGGCATCAGGTTCAGATCCCTGGCCATGGCTCCCCTAGAATCTCTGCCCTACCTCTCCCCCAAGTCCAGAGACTTTGGGGAGTTCACTCCCAGGTCTCTTTCTCCTCCCTCTCCACACCCTCACTCCCCAAGGTGACGCCTGGAAGGTGCTGCCTGGGACTCTCTCTATAACAGAGGAAGAGGGTCTGCCCAGGAGAGAGGCCACTGTCATGGTCACAGGGTCTCACATGAGAACAAGGGCCCTACCACCAGTGCCCACCGGGCCCTGTGCATGGCCCACCTTCAGAAGAGGGTGCAGTGAGTGAGACTGAGGACTTAGGATTGTGTGTTTACTGTGAGACCCCATCCCAGAGCCAGACGCTGCAGCATCACCACCTCCCCAGGCACTGCCCAGGTCCCACTGCAGGAGCTGGAGGAGGAGGGGAGGAACGAACGAATCGCAACCACCTGGAGGGGAGGACAGGCCTGTCGGGGGGTGGGGGCCCTCATCTTTGTTTACTGGAGGGTCTTTGGGGTGAGGGAGGAGGGTCCCAAGGCTGAAGCTGTGAAGAAAACAGTGGCACTGCCTCAGACTGGGCTGACCAATGCCTCCTAGGTGTCACTGAGAAGACCCTCGGCCCTGGGGCAGGCAGCTGTCCTCGTGGGCAGCGCTGAGGACCCAGCAGGCAGCCAGACCCTGTGGGCTCGCTGCCAGCTCCAGCTGTGCTTCCTCTGCGGGGGCCAGCTTGTTGTGCTATGATGATTTGGCACCTGTGGCACATTCCGTTTTCTAGAAAACTTCAAAGTCTGGCACGTCTCAATGTCAGATGTCATCCTGTGCCCACAAGCCTACTCTGGGGGTCTGGGGGGCAGCAATGGCGGCCGCGTGGTAACCATGGGCACCACCTGCGGCTGGCTTTGCCGTGTTTGTGCACACTGTCCTCGGGCAGAGTAGAGACGCCGGGTGTCCCAAGACTTGTGGCTCTTGCTGTGGGGTATCGGACTTCTGGAGGAAACCCCACGGAGCCCTGCCAGGCGGCCCCCAGCCTCCCTTGAGGGAGTGAGGGATGGGCCCTGCCTCTGAGCCATGAGCCTGTGAGTGAGCGCTCTGTGATTAAAAGTTACAGGCACTAGCCAGGCAGGCGCTTCCTGTGTGTGGCCGTCTGTTTGACGATGCCCTCCTGCAGGGTAGCATCAGCGCCTTGTAGACAGGGCCCGTGGGTTTGGGGGACAAGCTTCTGTTGTCACGGTGGCTCCGTGGTGCCTCCCCTCACAGCGCCAGGCTCAGGGCCCTCTGGCTGTGGGGCTGCATGGGGTGGTAAGGTGGTTTCCAAACTTCTAAAGTGGCCGAGAACACTTGGTCCAAAAGAAATCCTGGGAGGAAGCTCAGTTAATACAACAGGGAAAGGCAGGTTTCCTGGGGGAAGTATGTGTCTGTGCACGCGTGCGGCAGGTTTCTGTGCATGCAGGTGTGTATCTTCGTGCGTATGCGTGTATCTGCGTCAGTGTGAGCACCGTGCAGCACTGCCGAGAAGTGGTGTGCTGGTGGACCCGTGCGTGTGCAGGTGCGTGTGCACATGCCGCGTGTGTGTGTGTTGGTGCCGGGACTCTGTAGAGCACAGCTGGAGGCCGGCGGTGAGAGTGTGCACATGTGCGTGTGCGTGTGCGTGTGCGTGGGGTGGGAGGGCTGGCTTCGAAGCAGGGGTGTTTCCCGCAGCTATGCGGGTGGCACCACCCTGAGCGAGCCTCGCCCAAAAGGAGTCTGTTTCCCCAGTGGCACAAAAACCCTGCCCTGCTGGTCCCTCGGGTGGGCAAGGTGAGCGAGAGGGACAGGTGGACGTCCTCTGGAATCACAGCCCAAACCTGAGCAGATGGGCTGGGATGAGCCTCCCTGGCTGGACCCCGAGAGACTCTCCCTCCGCTCTTTGTAGGGGTTTACTTCCCTGCCCTGACCAGCCTGCTGTCGCAGAAGGTGCGGGACAGCGAGCGAGCCTTCACCTACAGCACCGTGGGCGCCGGCTCCCAGTTTGGGTAAGTCCTGGCCTCAGACGGGGCCCAGGAGAGGCCACCAGATAAGCCCCTTGCCAAGTGGCCCCTGGTCTGGGTGAGGGATGGGCCACATGGGCCTGCAGGGCCACCATGGGTGAGGTGGGTCCGGCAGGCGCCTTTTGGGCTCTGTAGCCCAAGGCTGTGCTCTGCAGGTGCCAGCCCCGGGCACCGCGCTTGCTTTGTGCGTATTTCTGCCTTTCTGGAGTGGCTGGCAGGTGATGAGGCTGGGACTTGGGGACAGGGGTTGGGGGAGTGGCCATATCCTCTCATTTTCTTTCATCTGTGCTAACGAAGCCAGATGCCATCCCCACCCTCTGCTGGCCCCCACCCCCGACAGGAGAGTCTGTGAGCCCTGGAGCGTCTGGGCCGGGGTGGGGGGCTGTCAGCTGGTGGAGGGCGGCTTGTCCTCATCCACAAGGCGGTAACCCTGTGCCCCTCGGTCCTCCTTCCCAGTGCCCACTCCTTGGGCAGCTCCAGACCCTCTAGCGATGCTGGCAACCTGGATCAAGGCCGGGCCTGGGGTGGGAGACCTTCCCAATGGTTGTAGCAGGGTGGACAGGTGCAGGAGCTGACAGGGGCTTCCCAATCGCTGGGCTCGGGCCCTCATGTTACTGTTGCTGAGGTTCAGAGGGCGGAGGCGGCCCCTGTAGGTGGGGCCAGGAGCAGCCCCAGGCAGGCCCAGGGTGACCAGATTCATCAAATAAAAACAGACTGCCCAGAGGAATGTGAATTTCAGATAAACCAGAGGGGATATACTTCTACTAAAAGAATGAATCCTCACTTCTCCAAAACCTGGTTTCTTTGGGTATCCTGCGGTTTTTCTGCACGCAGGTGGGGAACAGAGAGAGGGTCAAGTGTGGACTGGAAGGGGCAGGAAGAGTGCTACCCCAGCCCGCCCTGGCGCCCAAGGCCAAGCCCTGCTGCCCCAGGAGCTGTGTCCACCCTGCAGAGGCTCAGTGGGAGGAAAGAGGCCCCATCTGGATGCCAGGCCCGGCTTTGGGTCTCTCTCTTCCTCCTTTTGCCATATTAACTGTTCCCGCAGGTGCCAGCGGAGGGGTCTCTGCGGCAGATGGGGGCTGGGCTACCAGCCAGGTTGCACCCAGAAGGAGCCTCTGAGGAGCTATTTGGGACAATGAGATCATGGGGACAGGGGATGGGGGCTGTTGGATTTGGCCGTCGTGGTATTTTTGCATCTAGAAATCTTTGTGAATTTTATCCTCAATGAGGTTCGAAGCACAAAAACCGTGGGGAGTTTCACTGTAGTATACTCTCATCACCGTCTCCTCCTCGGTGCCGTTTTTAGTTGAAAAGGATCCACATGACAAATTGTAGGCCAATGTGAAGGCCTAGAAGCAAGATGTGAAAAACAACATGAGTTCCACAGCAGCCGCCCGACTGGCCCCACTGGCCCCGAGTGTCCGGAGTCCTTAACCAAACAGGCCGGGACGGGGGCTTCCGAGCTGCCGCTCTGAAGGCCATGAAAACACCCTCTTTTCCAGGGGCTCAGCCTGCACCAAGGTGGGGTTTCTGAGAGGCCCCTCCTCGCCCGAGGGGTGCCGCTGAGGGGCCTGGCCACGCTCCCCCTGTCTTTGCAGGACGCTGCTGACCGGGGCAGTGGGCTCCCTGCTCCTGGAATGGTACGGCTGGCAGAGCGTCTTCTATTTCTCCGGCGGCCTCACCTTGCTTTGGGTGTGGTACGTGTACAGGTACCTGCTGAGTGGAAAAGGTAACGCAGGCCGGGCGGGCTAGTTCCGGGCACCCACGGCTGCCCAGTGCCTCCTCCCTTGGTGGCAGCCACTGAGCAGCCTGGAGCAGGAGCCCGGAGACAGCGGCCTTGACCTCTCAAAGAATCCACCAGTGAGGCAGAGTGCTCAGGTGCTGAGCTGTCAGCGGCTCTGCCACCTAATTCGGTCCAGAAGGTTCCATCTAGGGCTAAGGCAGACACCCAGGGAGACCTGCTGAGCAGGTCAAGGCAGGGTGCAGGAGCAGCCGAGTCTTTGGGTGGCCAGGAGAGGGCTCTGGAGGAGGCTGTGGGGAGGGTCATTCAGAGCGCGGTTAGGTGCCTGGTAGGGAAGGCCACGGGAGGCTGGCGCCCGTGTGCAGCCTGAGGGGTGAGCGGGAGGCCGGCGCCCGTGTGCAGCCTGAGGTGTGGACGAGGGCTGCTGACCCTCTGGAACCACCCCCAATCCCCAATCCTTTGGAAATAGACGGCACCTCCCGCCCTGATAGCCATCACTTTGAAACCATTGCTCCCTCAGATCTCGTCCTGGCCTTGGGAGTCCTGGCCCAAGGCCTGCCGGTGTCCAGGCACAGCAGAGTCCCCTGGAGACGGCTCTTCCGGAAACCTGCTGTCTGGTGAGCTGGGACCTGTGCCGCCCCTTGGAGCAGTGGCAGGGCTGGTGACCATGGGGGTGTGAACCTGGCTGGATCTGACAGCCCCTGAGCCAGCAGGGCCTAGGGCTCAGAGAGGTGGGACTCTAGCCCCCAGGGGAGGTCTCTCAGGGTGGGTCCCACAGGCCCAGCCAGCTTGCGCAGCACCAGAGTCATGGTCCACCGTTGGGCCCCGCAGGGCAGCCGTCATCTCCCAGCTCTCTGCAGCCTGCTCCTTCTTCGTCCTCATCTCCTGGCTGCCCACCTTCTTCAAGGAGACCTTCCCCGACGCCAAGGTGAGTGGGGGGCTCCTACAGGGTGAAGGAGCGCCCAGAAGGCACGAGGCTTGAGCTGCACCAGGCACCGTGGGTCCTGGCCTGCAGATGGTGGAACCCTCGGCTCCTCCTGGGCTCCGAGGGTCCTGGCACTGCCAGGCTCTTCCTCTGGGAAGGACCCAGTCCATGCATGGGGCAGGTTTCTGTGTTTGAGGCTGGAAACGATGTGGGCGCTCGGTGCCTTCCGGCTGTGGCTGCAGCCCTCCCAGCCCTCACCGGTGACCTGCTGGCCTGCAGAGCCCGACTTCAGGGCCCGAGGAGGCCGGTGCAGGACCCGGGATGTGGACAGAGGGGTCACCTGCGGTCAGTACGGTTCCTTCTCTGAGGTTGTCTTGCTGCCCCCCCGGGTGGTGGTCAAGACTCCAGAGCTGCACATTCCCAGGAGCAGGGCTGGCCCTGCGGAGAACTTTCCTGGGCAGTGGTGGGCATGGGGGGCTGTCCAGTCTGAGTATCCTCTTCCAGATGGCCGGGTGCTAGCCCTGGCCCCCTCTGAGGCCACACTCCCCCCTGCAGGGTTGGATCTTCAACGTGGTGCCTTGGTTGGTGGCGATTCCTGCCAGTCTATTCAGCGGGTTTCTCTCTGATCATCTCATCAATCAGGGTGAGCCCTGGGGCGGGGACCGGGGCCGGGGGCCACACCCTGATTCGCCCCACTTTCAAGGGGCAAGACGCTCCTCTCCTGGGGGTGCAGCTTCAGCACATGGAGAGCTGGGACAGAGGGGCACTTCTTTCCAGGCTCGGCCTTCTCCTTAAAGGGTGGGGTAAGACTGGTGAGAGGGTCTGGTCTCACGGTGACCGTGGAGCTCGCCCCTGGAGGCCAGATGCAGCCCCTGACCCTCTGGGAAGGCACCTGGTGGGGTCAGAGGTTGCAAACATCCTTGAACCTTTGGAAGAGCTTCTGTCTTTGTTCCACGTGCTCCAGACCCACGCTGGGATGAGCCCCAAGTGGGCTGCGTGTTTCTTCCCCTAGCGCAGTGTCCTCACAGACAGGGGCAGGCAGATGCACACGCGTGCCCACATGCTCTCTCCACACACGTATGCCTATTCCTAGAACATTCGTGTTTTTCCTAATTGCAAAAGGAATACACACGCGTTGTGGAAAAGTTAGAAAATCTGGAGCAGCAGAGGAAGTGGGGCCGCTCGCCTGTTTCTACCTCTGTAACTGCTGTGTGGCTGTTCTGTGTTTCTGCCCAGACCCCCGCCTTGGGAACCTTCCAAGGGCACAGGCGCTGCCTCGTAGCTGTGCCACACATACGTGTGTGCACACGTTTTTGCCCACAGCACGGGATAGCTGTCTTGAGCCCCAAGCCTCCTCCTCCCCTGCTGCCCCTCTGCAGCTGTTCAGGATGGGACCCCTCTGGGCGCTGTCTGGGGTGTCAGCATGAAAGGCCTAATGGGAGCCCCTTCCTCGGCCTCCCCCTGCAGGTTACAGAGCCTCCCCTGCAGGTTACACGGCCGTCCCTCCCCTGCAGGTTACACGGCCGTCCCTCCCCTGCAGGTTACACGGCCGTCCCTCCCCTGCAGGTTACACGGCCCTCCCTCCCCTGTAGGTTACACGGCCGGCCGTCCCTCCCCTGTAGGTTACAGGGCCGTCCCTCCCCTGTAGGTTACACGGCCGTCCCTCCCCTGCAGGTTACACGGCCCTCCCTCCCCTGTAGGTTACACGGCCGGCCGTCCCTCCCCTGTAGGTTACACAGCCGTCCCTCCCCTGCAGGTTACAGAGCCATCACGGTGCGGAAGCTCATGCAGGTAGGAGAATCATTCCAGTCATTCTTTCTGGATATCCCTGCTTTGTTCAGGGTCTCCCAGGACCACAGGCTTGTGTCCCCAAGTCCCCTGATGTCTGGGACCAGGCAAATGCCAGGCCTCTCCACGTGTCCAGCCCCGGGGTCCAGAGGGGGCTGTTTAGACTGCTGTTGGGGGGCAGGCTGGGGTCAGCATCCTGTGCCCCTCTGGGCCCAGGCCTGGGCTTGCCTACGTCGAATAGGGCCTCTCCCATGGAGCGGGGCTGATTCTTGGGGAGCCTCCTCCCAGATCTCCTCTAGGGGTCCTGGTCCGAGAGAAGTTTTCGGTCCCAGCTGACCTGACCCTTGTGCAGTGTGCCCAGGACAGCTGTCGGGCAGCCGAGTCAGGAGAGGGCCCAGCTGCAGGCAGGCCGGGTGCCTGCCCGTCACAGTGGTGCTTTCCTGCAGGGCATGGGCCTTGGCCTCTCAAGCGTCTTTGCTCTGTGCCTGGGCCACACCTCCAGCTTCTGTGAGTCTGTGGTGTTTGCGTCAGCCTCCATCGGCCTCCAGACCTTCAACCACAGGTGAGGGTGGACTGCTCCATCCACCAGAGCCACCATGCTGCCCGCATGCCCCAGGGCCACGCATGTGAAGAGGGATCTCTGCCCGCCTCTCTCTGAGTCTCTTCCTCACACTTCACCCCCTTCCCAAGCTGCTGGGCAGCTACTGCATCGAAGACTCAATAGGAGTTCTGCAGGAACCAGCACTTCCCATCAGTGAGCAGCACGTGTGCGTGATTGGTGCGAACGTGCTTTCCCCACAGTGCTTTACTCTCAGGAGACGCTTCCTGCACCAGGTCCTCCATGAAGACAGGCGGCTGGGGCTCGGCTTGGCGTGGTGTGCAGGGCTGGAGTGTTTTGGCCAGGGAGCAGGCCTGAGTGTCTCCCAGCCCCTCCCGTGGCTCCACGAGACCTTGTTTCCCCGCTTCCCCCTTGACAGCCCTGGGCCGCAAGCTCGGTGGTGGCCAGGGCCGCTCACCACCCTCTTTCCTCCCCGCAGTGGCATTTCCGTTAACATCCAGGACTTGGCCCCGTCCTGCGCCGGCTTTCTGTTTGGTGAGGACCTTGCCCACCCCAGCTTTGCCTCTCCCTGGGCCTCCGGGTGGGTGGGCCTTGGGAGATCCCAGAGGGCTTTCGCTGACCGTCCGTATTCTCTCTCGCTCCGGCCTGTTCACAGGTGTGGCCAACACAGCTGGGGCCTTGGCAGGTGAGGGGCGGGGCTCTGTGCCCAGGAGTTTGCCTGTCTGTGGGGTTTGAGCCCACCGAGGTGCTGCAGGGCGGGGGTGTGCTTCCCTTCAGAGGGGGTCCCGGTGTCAGGGGAGGGCACAGACCCCAGAGCAGGCCCAGGAGAGGAGGATGTGGCTGCCTTCCAGGTTCCACTGGACTTTGCTGACAGCAGGTGGCTCAAGGGTCGCCATCTGCCCTGACTCACAAATACGTCCCAATCCTGGTAGCCCAGGGTCCCCGGGACACAGCCTGGCCCTGCTGAGTGCCTTGGCTGGTGGGGGCTCCTTCTCCAGCTCAGCCTCGCCTGGGTCGGCCTGTGGTTCCCATTTCCCCTTCAGCGGGACAAGGGGGACTCATTACCAGGCCATTTCCTGGATGGCCTTTGAGATCTCTGCCCTCCAACACCCTCCAAGTGTGAGCCTGACCCACAGCTGGGACACCGAGTTCAGCCCTGGGAACCACAGGGGCTTCCATCAGGCGCTGGACCCCCAGCCCTTCCCCGGCACTACCCTGGGACCTAGGGTGGGCGTGGGGCCTGGGCTGCCCGGGAATGCTCAGCCCGCCTGGGCCTCTCTTGGGCAGGTGTCGTGGGTGTGTGTCTGGGCGGCTACTTGATCGAGACCACGGGCTCCTGGACTTGCCTGTTCAACCTTGTGGCCATCATCAGCAACCTGGGGCTGTGCACCTTCCTGGTGTTTGGACAGGCCCAGAGGGTGGACCTGAGCTCCACCCACGAGGACCTCTAACTCCCAACCCCACAGCCTCTCCGAGGACCCAGGCACCAGCAGCCCCGGGACAGAGGGGACTCAGTGTGTGGGACTTGGTCACTCCATGTCAGACGCATGAGCAGAGAGGAACGCAAACCACTGTAGAGCCTGAAGCTCCTTAAGGAGAGTCCACACCAGCTGGCGGGAGGGTGGGGTGGGCCTGGGTCCAGACCAGGCTCGCTGCTCTCTGGGCCTCAGTTTCCCCACCTGCCAGTGGGCTCGGCCCTGTCTTCCTCACAGGCTGGTGTGGCCGTTAGGGTGAGTGGAGTTATTGTTAGTAGGCGCAGCCTCATTCCCACCACGATCTGTTCCACGTGGTCCCGCCAAGCCTCCCACAGTGCCGTGGGTCCCGCCAGGCCTCCCGTGGCTGCCGTGAGTCCCGCCAGGCCTCCCACAGTGCCGTGGGTCCCGCCAGGCCTCCCGTGGCTGCTGTGGGTCCCGCCAGGCCTCCTGCAGCCGCCATGCTCTCTGCAAGCCTCCTGCAGCGCCCGCCTGCCAATGTGAGGCCGGCACCAGGCTGCAGCCTCCCCAACCCCAGCCCACTTTGCTGTGTCTCTGGCGGACCCGCCCTGTGCACTGTAGGATGCTTAAAGGCATCCCTGGCCTTCACCCACCCCTTGCCAGCAGCACCTACCCTCCCCCTCCCAGTCAGACAACAGCCAGAAATGTCTCCAGACTCTGCTCAGCCTCCTCGGGTAGCCACCCTCGAGACACGACTTCAGAGTCTCTGTGTCTCCCAGCAACCTGACAGAGACTCCCAGGGCGTGGGTGGGTGGCGGGTTAGAGACCCTGGCCCATCTCTGGGACCCTGGCGCCGCTCTCTCCTCCTGTGGATCCCTCTGCACTAGCAGTGTTCTCAGTGGGCAGATGCCTGGGCACCCCTTGGGCCCTGCCCAGCATTGCCGTGGCACAGGCTCTCGAACCCGCATGGCTTTCCCAGGCCTGGTGATTCTGCTCTCCAGGGACGGTTGGCACCTTCCTCGGGGGTGGGCCCCATGCACCAGAACACACAGACCCACCTTTCTGGCTTCCTTCCTTCCTACCTTCCCTTCCTTCCTTCCCTTCCTCCCTTTCCTGCCTCCCTTCCTTCCTTCCCTTCCTTCCCTTCCTTCCTTCCCTTCCTTCCTTCCCTTCCTTCCCTTCCTTCCT